CATACTGTTAGATAGCCCAAATGATAAGCTTTAAAAGTATGGAGAGCTTTTTTAAAATTCCTTTCCATTGCTGAGAAAATTCATTTTTTCTGAATAAGATGTGAAAAATTCTCAATTGTGCGCGTAATTCCCACCTTTCTTTATCAGAACTCAAGTTTTAAGCAATAAAAACATCATATCCGGAATCAGGATAAAAAATTAAGTCGAATGATGTGTATTTGGAAACTTTTAGCTGATTTTCATTTTTTGTCGAATTTTCGTGTTGAAAAACGATCGAGATTTTCACCAAAAAATGAAAATCAGTTAAAAGTTTCGAAATACACATCATTCGACTTAATTTTTGATCCTGATTCCGGATATGATGTTTTTATTGCTTAAAACTTGAGTTCTGATAAAGAAAGCTGAGAATTACGTGCACAATTGAGAATTTTTCGCATCTTATTCAGAAAAATGAATTTTCTCAGCAATGGAAAGGAATTTTAAAAAAAGTTGAAACTCAAACAGTTGAAACTGAAACTCAGGATCATGACATTTCGTGTCAATACTCTAACCATCCGAGCTATAGCTTCCTCACCATATCCACCAATCCATAGCTTCCTCATATCCTCTTTGGTCTTACGCAACAAGTGGTGAAAGCATTTACTGAAACCAGGAAATAATTAGTTCAAGTAGATTTTAATTAATCTAAAATATACTAATAAATAAGTAAATAAACACAAACTAACAGAAGAAAAGACAAGACAATCACTCAGTTGCTTTATGCAACGGTAGACATCTTTATTTTTCTTCTCTTCTTTCTTTTTTTGCACTGTCTGCATACAGAATGAAAGAACTTCTTGTAACGATTTTAATCACTGCAAGAAACACATGCTAACGCTTGCATCCTTTAACGCAACATTGATTTTTTTTGAAAATTTCGCAACTTCAGTATGAAATACTTACAGTAATACTAACAAATAATGTTGATAAAATCAAAATATCCATTCCTTTTTTATTTCTTCGTGGTTAAATATACACAATTAGAAAGTAAGAAAAAAACCGCGCATTTTGTGCCTAAAAGGTACAAAACTATTTTTTCTTCGAGAAATCCAAAAATACACCATAAACAATACCTCCAACTTGTATAAAACGTGCAGAAAACTATGTCAATAGTATGGCATTATATTACACAAATGAAAACTCCTCCTTGTACCACATGAAGAGGTTTGTAAACACATTCAGTTTTTGGAGGGAAACCTGAGTCATACCATTCTGTGAGAGAATACAAGTCAGACATGACAAAGGGCATAATAGAAAAGTTTCTTTGTCATTTGACATACAGATTTCTCTGTGTTACGTTTGTTTATGGTGTATTTTTGGACCTCTTGAAGAAAAAATACCTTTTAGGAAGAAAATGCTTGGTTTTTTCTTACTTTCTAATTGTATATATTTAATCACAAAGAAATAAAAAGTACTCAATATTTTGATTTTATCAATATTATTTCTTGGTACTACAGTAAGTATTTTATACTGAAGCTGCATAATAATATAAATAATCGGATAGATATTTCCACATAGATAAATAAGTATTCCCGGCATGTGGGAGGAAGTAGCATGATCTACGGGAAATAGAAAAGAGAAAGAGAAAGAGAAAATCGTATTCTATCAAATATAGCCATGGATATACCTATGTTATAAAAAATAAATTAAGCGATTTGAAAATATTGCTTCGTTCAAGAGCTATAGCTATGCCAAAACATTAGAAAATTTGGTGCTTGCTCCGCGCTGAACCAAATTGAATAAAAATTGGGCGCCAAATGCAAAATTTGTCGATGAATCCGACAGCGGGTTCCTTATAATTACATCTTCACTTCTTTTTTGGCATCGACATAATCAACGTGGTTTTTTGCCTAAATTTTATTTTTCTCATCAGCGCCTTTTTTTCAACCAATGAGAAAAATAAAATTTAGGCAAAAACCACGTTGATTATGTCGATGCCAAAAAAGAAGTGAAGATGTAATTATAAGGAACCCGCTGTCGGATTCATCGACAAATTTTGCATTTGGCGCCCAATTCTTATTCAATTTGGTTCAGCGCGGAACAAGCACCAAATTTTCTAATGACACGGTTTAAAAATGAAACAAATATTGAAGATATAATGAAAGAAGAATAACTAAAAATACATTCCCCCTGAAATAATTAAACTGCTTGGTCTGAAATTTTCATTGTAGTTTTCAAATACCATTTATGACTTTCAGTCGAAACTTCGTGATTTCGAACTGTATGCAGTGGTTAGGATATGACTTTTCTTGCTTAAAACTAAAAACATACTTTTCAATGAGTGAAACCTTTTTCGAGCTAAAACTTTGTGACAGAAAATTTTAACTGCTGGGAGGACTGAGACTAATTCGAACTTAGCCTCTAACGAACTCACTGGACTGGGACGGAGAGATGGCCAAGTCCGGTATTTTTTTACACCTTTTTTTCTTTCTCGAACAATAAATATTTCTCCATCAAGAAATATCGTACTTTTCTCGTTCGGGAAATGCGTACTAGTTTAGTTTCTGACGCCAAGAAAGCAAGATCTTTGTTGTAACAAAAGCACAAATCAACGTTCAGACATGAATTACAATCAACTTTGAAGAGGTTTTTATTTGTATGTAAACTGCGGCAAATTCAAAACTTGAGCAGGAACTTTTTTTGCCATGGTTGGATAGAGCTCATCGAGTTACGTAGAACAGACTCTGGTTTTTGATTTTTAAAAGTGATTTTTGGGTAATAAAATGTAAAAATATTGATCTTTTGAAAAGAAACAAAAATCATTAAAGTTTTTCCAAAAGAAACGAAATTGAAAACACGGTCGTCTCTCTCAGCTAAAAGCTTGAAATATTCAATGTTCCTAAAAGATAAACTTTAATCTTTTCTTTAGTCTGTTTTTCTTACAAAGATCATACTTCTTTTATTTTACTTTTTAACCATACTTATCTGAGGAATAAAAAATTGACCATTTTACATGCTTCTATTTATGATTGCATGACTTCGCTGATATGAACGTCTAATGAACATTCGGGACATTTAAACTTTGTCTAGACGACTAGTGAGCTGCTCGAACATATCAGCTCCTTTCAAAAGAGCTGTTCAACAGTTCCTATGATAGGAGTTGATATGGAACTATCATACCCCTACACATCACCTATTTAAACTTTTCAATAGTATTTTAAAAATATTTTACAGAAAATAGACACATATATAAGATAATACTTTATGATTAAATCTATAATTATTTGATTTAGGCTACATAAACGATGGGAATTTGCTGTTTAATTAAATTGCAAAAGCTGCATGCAACGAAAACCAACAAACGAAATGCTCAATCAATGATGAAACAATCAAATATATTTAATTTTTTTGGTCTGGAAAAGGAAAGATCATCAAAAAACTTGCCGCATGATTCAGCATCATTTCTATGGTCTCAATTATTACTAAATGTGTTAAAAAAATTACCACGAACAGAACTAGCTAAACAAGAAATGCTTAATAAATTTATCGATTACTATAAAGAAAATGAAATAGAGCAAAAGAAAATTGAATTATTTCGGTTAACATATGAAGCAAGAGATGCAATCAAATGGTTTACAGCAGATAGTTTTATTTATAGACTTGTTAATAAAGCATTGAGAAACGAAAACATTGATGATTTATATTTATATCGATTTTACATTATTGATTTATGTACACAACTTGAAGAGGAAAGTAAACAAACTAAACTAACGACTTCAACGTTATACCGTGGACAAAAGATGTCTGAATATGAACTTGATAAATTCCAAAATCATATTGGTATGATAATATCGACTAATGGATTTTTATCATCAACACAAGATCGTAAAGTAGCATTAACGTACGTTGAAGGAATGGGTGAAACAGACGAATTAAAAAAAGTATTATTTGAGATTACAATTGATAAGGATGTTAATAATGTGACATATGCCGATGTAGACAGGTTAAGTCAAATGAAAGGAGAAAAAGAAGTTTTATTTAGTACTGATGCTGTATTTAAAATTGATAATGTTGTTTTTGATTCTGATTTAAAAATATGGAAAATTCAAATGACGATAAGTGACGAAGGTTCAATACTTTGTCAACCTTATATAACAAAAAAAACATTGCTGAACTAGTTCCATTCTCACCCCTTTCGTCCTTTAGGGAGCGTTTTGTCAATTTACTGGGCTTTGATTTGATCACCGCGATCTAGGTCATGCTTCTTCTGCTGCACCTTACTCCATTGAGACACAAAACACATACAAGAAATTTCAAAAACAAAATTACCTTCATTTTCGAGCGAATTTCCCTTGAATTTATACTCCGATTTTTGAAAGATATAGAAAGTGCTGTCAGCTATACTTTGGCACTACCTTCTATCCTATGTCACCCGTAAGACAGGGAGGACAAACCACAGAAGGCTTTTCGGAATGTCCTTCACGCATGAGCGAGAAATACCCGTAAAGGTAACCGGGAAAACCAGAAAAGGTGTTCTAAAATACGTTTAAGAGTATCTGCATTTGATACTAATAAGAACCGATTTTTGGTTCTGTGGCACCAGAAATACACATAAACGTAACCTAGAAAACCAAAAGAAGGTGTTCTAAGATACTGAAATTGGTTCTTATTAGTAACAAATGCAGATACCCTTTTTTTGTTTTTGTAGAATACCTTTTTTCTTGGAGAACAGAGATTAACAGAAGCCGATTTTTGATATTCCGTGTAATCGTCGAGAAAAATAAAATTTTCTAAAAAAGATGGCGTAACTTTTTTAACTCTTTTGAAAAAGCTTTGAAGTGCTATCCCTTCATTCTATATCGTACATTCTCCTGAACAGATGAAGTTTTCTGATAACTTGAGTAAGAAATTAAAGCAGAGTTCCCTTTTGTCCACAAACATTACTGTGACTTTGCACTGTATATTAAGTTTTTGTCATATACTGGTTTTTTTCTTTCATGGCTTGATCAATACTGTGTGCGCATCGTCAAACGTCATAAGGGAAAAATTTTCTAAATATTCAATACTACCTGATGATACTTTTTACACCAGGGACAAGAATGTGATGAAGGAACTAAAAAGTAACAGCAAGGGACTACAGACTCATACTTAACATCACCAATTAAGCAACTACGAAAGCTTCAGTTGGACTTCAAGAGAGGTATTTGAAGATGCTTTCTAGTCCACCACAGAAGCAACATGTCTGAAACAATATACAGTACGTTTGAAACACCCTGCGTAGTATGTCCAAAGCAGCATCCTAGATGAGCCTCGAAACGTATTGGGATGGCCAACGTGGCAAGTCTAAAGCCATTTGTGCTGTGCCTTGGACCATACTAAGTGCATGAGCATGCACGTGCCACGTGTCCGGTAATGATCTTCGGCGTTTAAACATTCGGGGAATGTGTACCATCCTCCTGGATTTACAAAACGTACATGGCATGATATCCGCAGTTATACACGCGCGCTGTGCCCTATCAAATTTTTTGCGTATGGGAACAATTTTCGGTTTGCAAGCATCTCTTGGTAACCAAAAATGTAACAAAATAGATATAATACTTAACGCAAAAAATATAATAATTAATCCACTCATTGGTTCTATTGTAATTTTAGTTATTTTCACATTAAGTGGTTGTGGTGTTCCACATTTATATTGTCCAAACCATTTTGCTGATAACTGATCAATTATTCCTAAGTCTGATAAAAGTAGTATATTAGAATCTAAATCTGCTTTATATAACCAATCCTGTTTAACTGGTATTCCATAAAACGAATGACCAAAATCAGCACCAACAGTCATTATATCACAATATAGATTATTGGTGTAATATTCAGCCGTTACATTGGCCCATATCGCAGCATCAATGTCACCATTCATTAAATTTATAAAAATTTCATTTAATGACTTTAATGGATAATAGTTTTTTATACCTTGTAATACAGCATAATCTTGTATAGTTGATTCTTCAACAATTCCTACTCGACTGGATAATATTTTACTGTTTATTATATCATCTATTCCTGATATAGTAGGAATAGTTGTTTGTCTTACTAAATATGATGATAGGTTCGCTGTATATGTTGCTGTTAATATTATGCATACAATATATATGCCAATAGTTAGTAATCGTCCAGCAGCTGTTGACACATGAAAATCAGGACCTTTACCAAGTAGATAACTTATTGCATAGTAAACACTTTTTACTAGTGGTCTAACTATTGATAATAAGTTTCCACTATCACTGTTCTCTTTCTTAAACTTTTCATTATTATTTCGTTCAAATAAATATATTAATACAGCAGCATACAATCCTATGCCTAATAAAAGTAACCAGAGTGTTAATGAAAACGGTTTTAAAAAAGCAAGATAATCTAATTGAATAGATTTTGGTTTTCTTATAAGAACTCTAAGAGAATTAGGACGAATCGTTTCAGAAAAATCAACTATTCTAGCTCGTCCTTCAGTTATAGTTATACCACACATAACAGTGTCATATAAATCATTTGCTACACCAGCAACTAATTCATTATATTTTGTATCTGGCTTAACTAACATAATAACAGGAATGAAGCCCATTCTATCTTGTAAATTTGATAGTATATCTTTAAAAAAGCCGTGGAATGATGTCATATCAACTATTTTGTAATTGTCGGTCATGTTATTATACATATTAGTTGAATTTTTCAACATTATAAACGGTGCTACTTCCATAATAGCTATTCGTAATTTTTGACCTAAAAACAAAAGTGCGTGAAATAGTGTAGAAATTCCTAGGACAATTTTCTCATTTTCTTTGTAAAAGTTCAATGTCTCCTGGAATGAAACAAATTATTTCGGAGAAATATTTTGTTACCTGAGATTAATCTATGATCTTTTGGAATATTTTTTGATAAATCTGGCCATATAATATCATTCGATTCATTTGTATAATATGTCCATTTATCGCTACCAGTATACCATTTTAATACAGGTAAATAATAAATATTGTTTGGATCGGTATTTAAAGGTTGTATATTTTTAACAATGTAATATGCATCATCAACACGATCTGCTGTTTCATTAGAAAATTTTATTTGACCAGATACACCTAAAAATGTCATTTTACTCATAATACTATAATAATGTTCAGAATGAAGAAATAGACGATTATAACAATTTGAGACATTCACAAATTCTAAACATGGTAGTTGTATTGAACAAAGTTGCTGTAATGATAATATTAATGACCATGCTGCATCAAATGTAAATAATGCATAACTACTAACATTTGTATCACCAGGAAATGTATCATAGTCATAATATTTCCATAAGTCATATGCTTGATTTAACAATGTTGTGTTTATGGGTGCATCAACAAGATGTCCTTCAACAGGTTCAACAGTAAGCACCCCAATAAGTTTTGATTTTTGTGTTAGACTAAAATGATCTAATGATATTGTTGTTGTTAGTATCCAAACAAAATATGGACCAATTACATCCGCTTCAAGTGCTTTATTCAATATTGTTAATGATGAATTTTCATTTGCCCATACAACAACAATACGTGATAAACTATCAGATAATGTCTTTCTAAAATCAATTTGAAAATTTTGTTGTTTCATATCGAATTTAATTGTATCTGTAGTGTTAATATTAAATTCAACAAACTTTTGACTTAAGAAGTTCATACCACCATAACCATATTCATCATTTTGATATATAATTGTACATGATTTCCATTTATATTGTAGAAATAATTTTATTATACTTAATGCAGTATTTTCATCTGATGGAACTGTACGATAAAAGGCTTCATTATCAATAGTTGATAAGTCAGGATTTGTAGCTGCATAGGAGACAGCTACTATTCCTAATCGATACGCAAATGATGCAATAAATCGAACTTCACTTGAATATGCTGGACCAACAATTCCAACTATGTTTGACGTTGATACTTTTTGACATGTATGATCAACCATAACCATTACATCATTATCTGTTAATGTTTCTTCATAATCAACTAATTGTCCTTCTAATGTTATATTATATCGTTGAGATAAAAGAATAGCTGCTTTAAACATGGAACGACAGTGAATAGTCCACATATCATTCTTTGGTTCTATATCTGTTTGTTCAGGAAAGAGACCAAGTAATTTGACTGTTGATGACTGTAATGTTGTCGGCCAACTTTCTGCTATCGTTGTCTTCGTTTTTAATTCACACAGTATAAAAAACAATAGAAATTGTAAAGACGCCAAATAACTATTTCGCATTTTTCACTTTGTATAAACCAAAGATAATCTTTGATAAAAAAAAACAATTTAAAGTATGTTTTACATTGAAATGATAAGAGCTGTTGACCTTCTCCAGTTTTCAGTCCGTTAGCAATCTTAATTCTACATATGAGTAAATGAAGTGACGATGAGGGAACATCTGAACTATAAGTCAGCCCGGGAGTATGATCTGTTTCCCGAATGGGATAAATACCATGATCAAACTATAGTCAGATCGTAACTTCATCGAACAAAGAATTTTCTCCTCTACAAAATACGCTGCTTTTTAGATCTACGATTAACGTACTATAGTACTATAGTACTGCTTTTTCTCAAATCTGCTGTTTTCGGGAAATAGCAATTACAGTTTGTATACGAATTTGCACAGTTATTTGAAATATATAAAGAATTAAATTATTTTGATTCTTAAACTAGACTCACTTTTCGTTAAATATACATGTTTTCCACCCGTTATTAGATTTACAGGAAAGCCCAAGCCGATTGGTTCTTACTAAGCGCGCAGTCTTCGAAGCTGCTTTTCTGTAACTTTTCTCTCAACGCAGGTTGAGAATATATATCTAAAACACTGCCACTTGGTCTTTGTTGTTCTTTTCTTTTATCCTTTTTCTGTGTTTGTGTGTATATTACGTGCTGCATGATTTCACTTTCTGTTCAATGTAAATTACTGAGAGACTGCATGAGCCTAGGGTTTCATTGTTACTTAACATATTCGTACCAGCAATTTTCGCTCGTTGAACATTTAAAGTGATATCATAGGCTTATCCCTCTTACTTCTTGATGTTCTACATTTATTTGATAGTTGTTCTTTTTTTTTCTTCATTCTTCATTAGATAAAGCTTATAACAGCATCACCAATAACGTTCAGCTTGTTCAAGTAGCAATTCGCCATCGATGGAATCTGATAGTGCTGCCAAATATCTATCCCAATAGAGACCACATCTATCCTCTAAGGATACTTAATCAAATACAAACGCAAAGAAGATATCTGGTCATTGCAGGCAAAACATGATTCGTTTAAGTGAAGGGTGGTAAAAATTTAATAGATCGATGCGTTGTTTTTCGGTAAACAGAGGAAAAAGTACAAACATTCAGGTGAACAAGGTTAGTACGTAAGATGCAAACAGCGCTCTTCTTAGAAAAACAGATGTTGAACCAGCGTAATGATAAGAATTAATCATGACAGTACGCTGTCGAATTTTTATCATAGGTTTTTTAATTAGTGTTCCCCATCCTAATTTCGAAGTTATAAAATAGTCTAAGTACTTAACTACGTTTGCCCAATTTATAAGGCGCCGTTAATTCAATGTTTCAGCACTCAATACTTTTCCTTTTAACACACATCATCAGATTTAGTTTTAGTTGCTGACAGCGAATATGTCCTCATTTTTTAGATTCGACAAAGTTTTCACGGAGAAAAAGTCCAAATACTGAGAAGCAGTCAAAAATCGCAAAACCTTCGCTTTTCAAAAAATGACGTTTTTTTCTTTACCATTTCACTTTTTGCGCTTACCAATGGGATATTTGGATTCCTTATAAGAAACTGAGTCTAGAAATGTTAACTAGAGCCTCATCACATATAACGTGTCCAATAAGAAAAGCCAGGCTACAGTAATTCTCCGATTGCACTACCTTTTTTTGAAAACCTATCTAGTTTTTTCGGTCAAGAAATAGAGCTTTGATTCATACGCCATTCTGCCGTGTCGCGCACAACAAAAACTCGTATCGCTTTTTGTAATATTTTTTTTTGTGCTGAGATATTGCGTCTGGTATAGGAACATCTCTCAATGGGCAAAGTGATTTTTAAACAAAAAATTCATTTTTCGAAAAATCTAAAAAAATGTGTGAAAACTTTAGAAAACCTGAATGAAAACCAAAAATGAAAATAAAAGGTGATTCTGAGTGGTTATCACGTTTCAAACGCTAAGGTTTTCCAGAGAAATATGTATAAACTGTATAAAACGATATATGTATGTGTAAAAAAGGAAAAAAAGACGTCCGCACTGCGCGTGTGAAAAAGTTGAATGAGAGACAAAAATGTTTACCTTAAACTGCAGTTTGACTTTACTTTTACTGTTGACTGAATATACCGTTCTTTTTTACATGTATAGTGCGATTAAGCGCATCTAGTACATGTCTAAGTGGAATGAATTATGCTAGACGTTAACAGACAATCAATCGAGAAACTTTCAGAACAAGTTTTATCAGTGTTCTGCGCTTTCCTGAAAAGTCTATATCATGTCCATACTTACATTATTTAATGTTTTGAGGAAAGAAACCTGATCTTTTGGAGCAATTTTGTATTCAAAAACTGAAAAGAAGTATACTGATCTTTTTCGAGTGGAAATATTTTGCTGAACTAGCACTACGGTTGCCTACAGGTTGGATATATTGATTTTAAGGTATGGATATTTCCCTTTTTGTATGTATTTTTTCTTTTTATATTTGTCGTCTATATTCATTCACAAAAGACATTTCTTTTCAATGACTCATATCTTGTGTAGTAGTGTGAAAGAGCAATGAGCCCATCATTAATTCTGTTATGAGTTGGAAAAAAAATCGTCACGCTTCAGTATACTTGGCGTCCTCTGATGAAAACAGTTTGTTATGACTGAATTGATATTTTCCAAAAATGAACTCTACAAAACTAGGCTTTGGAGTTTTACAGTGTTCATTACTCGGTTAAGAATTAACGTTTTATGACAGGAAATAAAAGGAACTTTTTAGGAATTTTATAACAGGAAATAAAAGGAACTTTTTAGGAATTTTATGACTGGTAAACTTTTTGATGTCTCTTCAGAATTTGAGAAGTTTTTTACATAGTTATCAGTCTGCAAATTTTTAATGAAACAGGACATTATCGCCAGGCTTAACGTAGTCGATTACCTGTGCTGTAGCCATTTCTGAGCTTGCCATAGGGTACCTTACGCCAGTCCTACGATTTATAGAAAATTCAATACTACACCTAAACCACGATACAGAAGTACTCCGGACGTCTCCAGCTTTTTAGAGTACTCTTTGGGTTATAATACACTTTAAAAACAACTATATTGCTGTATAAGACTATAAATCAAATATAAGAATAATCAATGAATTATCATCGCCAGCACCTCCAAAACATACAAATTTTTGATATCATGATCGAGATATAGATTTTTTTGATATCTCAATCGGGATATCGAATTGTGTGCCGTTTGGAATATTAAAAAAATTTTGCTGTAAAAATAGATATACTGAGCGGGATATATATATCCCGACTGGAAGTACATCCCGATCGGGATATTTCTTCACACCAACTGGAAGTGATTACATTCATCATTAAACCGTAATAGCAAAATTCAATAATGATAGACAAAAACTGTGCTTTTGTGTATTTAAACTTAAACTTCTTCTAACACTTACGGAGAGGCAGACAAAAAAATTATAATACTTACATCTCAAAATTCGCAAGAAGTTTGAAATTTTTTAGAAGATTTATACATTACAGTACACATTTTTTCAGCACATTGTCTTGTTTTATTGTTTTTACAAATAACAACAGTCGTAATCCTTCTCCACGGTTCCTTTCGTCGTATTTTGACGTAAACTGAAGTTTACGACCGTGTGGGTTCGAACAGAGCCCATAAAATTGAAAAGTAGCATGTCTGAAAGTTTTGCCTCGATTTTATAAAATTTCTCATCGTGAGCTTCTCATCGTAAGCTTCAAATGAAAGGTTCCCTTACGTAAGCAAGAGATATAACCGTTTTGTCAGAAAAACATCCAAATGGAATTTTTGCACATTCAACAAAGATATGGGGGAGACTCCATTTCTATACGAATCATAATGATGAACAAACATTATAACAGCATCAGATAGACCTTGAGGGTACCATTTTTTTTCAAACTGGATTTTTTCTGAAAGCAAGGAGGCCTTAATCAAATTTGTTCGCTCAGATCAGATCTGATTGAACACACGTCATTAAGCTTCGACAACTGCCGACAGGATCCATTCATTACTGACCCTAAGTTCCAGTCGAAATCTAAGAGGAGAGCCGTCGGAAATCATTCGATATACGATGGTGGAAACCCGCTGATCTGAACGTCACAGGAATAAGAGGTCGTAGTGTGATAACTGAGTGCATATTATACGAGATGAATGCATAAGTCGTGCGGAAAAGAGTACACGCACACATGGTAAAAAGATAAAGGATAGAATATACGACCTTCTTTGTTTTAGAATTTCTCAATTTCCGTTTGTCATGCTTTTTCTGTCTTTTGCTTGCTACACCTTTGGTTCCACGGTTTTTCATTTCAAGTTTTAGCGATTCTGGTCTTAAAAATATGAAATATGTCGGTTTGTATTTTAGTCATAGACAGATAAGCGCCTTACTATATCTGAATACATTATTTTATAGAGTGACTATTCCTGTTCTAAAAAAGACATGAAGGGTTAATAGAGATTTTACAGTTTCTAATCAGAAAATCCGAGTCATCAAAGAAAGATTTACAAAGCATGCTGATCAGTATACTTTGTAAATCTTTCTTTGATGACTAAGATAATTTTCAGAAATATCAAAATATTCTTTTAAAATAGCTTTTGTGATATAAATATTCATCACAACGATTCATTACAAACGAGTTTTATTTTATTTCATCGAAAAAATCGACCTTTAATGCATCGAAGTGCATGTCACAAAATATACCCTCTAGAAGTGACATCTCTCTCAGCCAGTTGGCGACGATTACTAACTCACGTCGCTAGAAATGTGTTCTCGCTAAAGTATTCGGGACATTTAATGGACGTTCTGTCCTTCTTACAAAGGCAACTTTTTCCTTTTTAAATGCGTTATTTAAGCTGAGAGTTTGCGAAATACTTTCAGCACGATAATTATGAACAAGTAGCATCATTCTGATTCACTTATCCTTGAAGGGAAAGGAATCGCCAATATCAATCGCTTGCTTCGACGTACATTCCCAACCTGGCCAACTTTCTTCTGACCGAAGCTGTTTTTTCTTAATGGTCACTTACTATCACCCTCGGAAAAAAAATTTACGAATTCCTGCGTGTTAACGCAGGAATCTGAAAAAATCCTGTGAATGTTGGATATATACTGCAGGTTTATACATTATGTTACCTCGCCGAAAATTTCCCTGCAAGTTGGTGGGTATAATTGAGCAGGATTTATTAACACGCTCACTTTTCAAGTTTCTTTCCTGTAGAATTCTTCTCTAGGCACACCATACAGGAGCTTTTACATGCGTACATCGGATATATCTCGCAGGTTCTTCACTTTGCATACCTTGCGAAATGTTTTCCTACCTGTCATCACTTGTAATACACAAGATATCTGCCTACGCAAACCCTGCAACGTCTGCAGGATTTTCGCGTGATGATAAAAAGTAATAGCTTGCGGATTTTGTCTCCCATGTCTATGCCGCAGCATCCTGCGATCTTTTCTCACCAATGTCTCTTCAGGGTGACTGTAGTGGAACTTGTCTGTATTTTTTATTTTTGGAAAGTTAAGTACTTTTTTCTTATAAAGTTGCAAAAAAGCTTTTCTCGTGTCGAATATACTTCCAGAAAATGTGTACCTTAATACTTTTAACCATAATTTATCAATGTTTTTACCGAAGTTTTTAAGTATGTACCCTTTAACAGAATATTCAAAGCTGGAGAAATTAGAATAGTTTGATATATCTGCTTTGCTATACATCTTTTTGTCACAATAGTGAGATCATTCTAATGATTTTAATTACATATCGATGGAAGAAAATAGAATATTCCTGACATAAGAAAGATCTTTTCAGCTATCTATTAATAGTTTGATTTTGTACAGATGAAAATACGTGTTAGAATTAAAATATTAAGGTATACATTTTCTAGAAGGTTATCGGACACGAGAAAAGCTTTGCAACTTTATAAGAAAAACGTACTTAACTTTCCAAAAATAAAAAATACAGACAAGTTCCTCCACGGTCACCCCGGACAGACATTGGTGAGAAAAGATTCCTGGATACCGCAGGATAGACATGGAGAACAAAATCCTTTTTCTTTCAGCCAACAAAATCTTGCCAGAGCTCATAGGAAAAAACTTGTGGATTGAATAAGTCAAAGAGTCTTGCGATGTTTCTTACCTTTACGCAGGATTTTTTCAATGCAAACCCTACATAAACTATGCTGGGTTCCATCAGGATCGGCAGTATAAAAATCCTGCGTAAAGGTAAGAAACATCCCCACATATTTGAATACCGACAACCCGCGGAATCCTGCATCAATTTTGATTAGTTTTTTCAGTGGGCAGCTAAAGCTATTTTCGTTATACACCTCACAGACATGGTGTAGCATTTATTCATATGATTCTACCATAGTGCAGATGCTAAACCATTAGTACTAACTTTAGTACTCATCGTTGGTAATGCAACGAGTACTAATAAAAAATCGTTAGTATTTTAGTACTAACATTAGTAATTTACTAACGTTAGTACTAAAGCAGTAGTTTTTTTTGTAATTCTTTTAGTACTACCATTAGTATTTTTACTTTTTTTATAGTACTCTTGCCTATTTGGGATAAAAACCAACGGTAGTACAAATATGCGATTTCTGATTGGCTGGTGCGGTTTTACTAAAAACGCTGAGATATGAAGCATATGAATGAGGCCAAAGAGTGCTACTTCCAACGTTAGATTATCACTTTAAAGCGAGGGCGCCATTTTCAGCTTACAAATTTCATTTAGATTTTTATGTATTGTGCTTAAGAGAGAACCCTGATCCGCCTAGGCCGGCTGCTCTGACTTGCGTCTGGCAGAAAGTTTTGGATAAGTCAAAGGCAAGACTTGACTAATTTTAGTACTCATTGGAAAAATCTTTAGTATTTAATACTAATCCTATGATTACTTTCACTAGGGTATTAACATTAATAGAATCAAACTATTTATTGAGTACCTTAAATTTGATAAAACTGATTTTAAATAAAAGACGTATATAACAAGAAAAAATTATCATTGGGAAATAAAAAAGCTGAAAGAATTGTTTTGGAGAATAAAAGTATGGTCTTCTACATTTATAAAATTTAAATAAATTTTCATAGAAAGCAGGTTCGCATTGTACATATTTCGTGAAAAAACGTACTGTCTAAAACCGAATAGACAGACGAGGTCTTGTTAACCTTGGTAAGTTTTAGAAATTTAAAAAACTTCGAAATTATTTCAATTAAATTTTTCGTGTAAAACTCGGTTTCTTCCTATACTTTTTTATATCTCTATGAAACAAGCATTTTCCTATAAAATGCACATTAGACAGATAACAATCTAGAAATAAAACCGGTGACGGAGCCGATGATTGAAGTATTCTGCAATTCGCATATCGAAAAGTAAATTGTAGACAAAAATGAGTTTGTTATTTGAAAGCCGAACAAAATAAAGCCCCAAATCCTTGAGACGGTTTGTGGCGGTAAATATATGGATTATACAAAGTAAAATAATCTTTACTCTGGGAAAAGATCTTCTCTGTTAAAGAAAGATGTCTGCTACGCAGTACCTGAAGTCTCTCATAAAAACACTATGAATGCAGACTTTGATTCCGATACTAGCGCAGTCTACAATTCCTTCTTTTACTATATCTTGATTAAGATGCCGAACGCCATCTTGTGTTTCCTTTAGAAAACAAAAATGATATACAGACGCGTTTTAGGATAGTTTTCAAACATAAACTTCTAATCTTTGCCCATTGGTTGTGACGTAATACAAATGTACATAATGTCAGAAATTTCTTCTACTCCTGCGTTTTTTTCCACGTCATAAGTGCAGCTAAAAGGGAACATATTTTGCGCTCCTAAGTTTGCAAATAGTAATCATTTTCCTTGTACCTCTTATCTTTCTTTCGTTCTCTTGCTCTTGCTCGAAAGAGCAATGGAAAAAGCCGTTATTTTAATTCTTTTTTCATTCCAGTTTTCTCCAACTTATTTTGTCTTTTTCTGAGTATGTAATCGAAGACAAGCAGTACACATACAATAATAAAATTCTTTTCTTTTTGGTGTAGGACACAACTGAAATTTAGTATTGAGAGTAAGTAACAGCAACGTTTTTAGTAGTTTTGCAACGATTTTTGTATCGTGTAAAACGCAGAATATCGTGGAGATCGTTTTTCTAACTAAACGCAGGTGATTAAATCCCGATCGGACGTGTTTCGTCAGTGAAAGGTTAAGTGACAGTTATTTTTCCTAAGAAACTGTCCCTCTCTGTAAAATTCTGGAAGTGCGGTATGCACAATAGCTCATTTTGAATTTGAATCATTAGTTGTTTCTATCCTTTGTCTTTGTAATCGAGCCGATAGTTACTGTTCACAGTTATATTTTTTTAATAAGCGAAACAGACATGATCACGCGATAATAAAAAAGTGACAGCATACAACACAAAGCTTTTTAGTAAATATATTTTTACTTCGTATTCAAATTTTACATTTGTGTGCACAGTTTGGATGTTCTGCAGAAAAGAAAAGAGAAACGTAGAGCAAGAGCAGCAAAATAAGATGTATGTGCATATCTACCGTTATGTTGTACGTAACGAATTTTTTTATCAACAATAGAATCATAACAGACATATTTCCGTATAACTGATTCATACTCATTTTCTATCCGTAATAGAATATGTAAATTTTGATCTTCTATGTTTGGTTGCCGTGGACATTCAAATTTAATCGTATTTTTCGATGTTTGAAATTTTATATTGTGTATTTTTGATCCATTTAGCCAGAGTTCACAATCTATTAGAAAGAGAGAGACAGAGGAAAAGAGAGTTTTGAGTATGTTATACTTTTTCTTAATCTCTTATTCGTAAGCACACCTGATTTTTTAATTGTGCCACCACTAAATGGAATTTCTATCAATTCACCACCATTAGCACAAACAGATTCAATTCGTACTTCACTGGGCTTATGAAGTCCATATCCTGGAAAATAAATGATGTTTACAGTTGCGGTTTTTCAAAAGTCATATAAAATCTTACCAAATTCCATTAAATTACTGAATGACGGCGTTGACATCGGTGTAAAATTACCATTAAGTTCTTTACAAATGGTAAATTTTAGTTTTGCTAATTTCAATTTTTCATCTTTCATCATTTTTTTGGTAAGTAATGGTTTTCGAAATTTTAGTTTTGGTATTTTCATAGCATACCTAAAATCATGATTGAAGCTGTGTATTATTGTTAGCTGCTAAAATCAGATTACTCTTTACCGCTTGCATTTGTCTAAACAATCCTTGGCCGTTATCGGATAATGTAATAACTGTGCTGTTAGATTGGCTTTGACGTTTGGGTTCTCATGTATAACTAAATTATCCTCGCCATCTCTTTTGCAATCCTCAGGAATCAGTGGAAATGGATGTGGCTTTTCATTATGAGTGTACAGAGCAACCTCCATATAGAGTCCTTCCATCTCGGGTGTAATCTATATGATGAACGAAAACAAGGAAAATTAATGATTTGTAATGTAAGACACCATTGAAACTTACTGCTGTTGCCGGATAACCTCGCTCATGTGGTCCAGATTGAACACATTGAAACGAACCGGTATCGGTTGAACCTTCTAGGCCAAGTTCACCAATGTAACGTATCCGTTGATAACGATTTGGCTGATCTATAATCACCGGATCCGGCATTTGAACGGTTCCTATAGCCGATGTTGTCGCATGTGCTAGAAAATTCGAGGAAATGAAATGATTTTGACAGAAGTTTTCTATTATGGGAAGTTGACACACTTACGTTCGGTGGTTTGTAATGATAGAGTTGTATGTACTTCAGCCGGTTGTATGACTATATGCTCAGTGCATGCAAGTAGTTGTTCTTCCATCAGATCTATAAAGAAAAGGGACTAAGCAGCGTTCCTACAATTCTAACCTACTACTTACCGGAAAATTTTCTTTCATCAGTCGGATTTGTATCTAAACCCAAACAACACATATTGACACATTATTGTCAACGTAAAAAACCTTTTCTTCGCTTACAATTTGCAACTAAATTTCCGTGTCCTAGTATTTCATATAAAGAACACAACTTAGCCTCGAGTATCCTTTGGCGTTCATCTGTTGAAGTGTTTACGTCGATTGGGCTAACTGCAAGTTTAATAAGCTCATTCAAAGCTAAAAGAGTGGAGAAGGGGCAATGAAAAGCTAGTTTTACGTTGAAGAGTGAGGGATTAAATAGTAGTACCAACCAGCCAGATTTTTTCCGTCAAAATTTGCAGCAGAAATTGTAACTGTTTGTTCGTGGAGTTGTTGGAGAAGTAAATGACACACGTTCACATAATCTATATTCCCTTCTCTTTCACATCTATTTTTTTCTTTGCCATCTAAAATGAAATGGCTCGGAAAGTAAGAGATAAAGTAGTCCGGTTACTGTGTACTTTGTTCTTGAACATGATTTGTATTCGCTTGAGTTATTACCGAGCTTGAATCTAAATTTCAACATGAAAGCTTTTTAATTACCAAGTTTATTCTGTAGACTTTTAAGTCTGAAGACATAGGAAGTTAATTGTCTAATCGTACACACGCATTTCATTAGGATTCTTTGGCAGTAAAACTCCAGAAATTCAGACGGAAAAAAGATCGGGTTTTTATTGTATAGAAGCGTCGTTTTCCGAGGACGTACAAACCTTTTACATATAAAGTATGTTGTATAGACAGCGTCTGTTAACATGCTGCAGTCATGAGAGTGTGGATACGTTCGTAAAAAGCGATCTCAGCTACGTATGAAGTTTCGTGGTCCACGGGATTTAAATCGTAGAGTCGGAAGAAAACCCGTAAAAAACCTCTTGTTTTTGCTGTATAGATGGGTCGTAACTACGAGTGTTCTGACGAATGTCGAAAAACTAGAATTAAGAACGTTTTGTACGTAGTCGAGGTGGAATAATTAAGGGAGGTTCGAAGTGCATGTCGTCGAGACATCGTGGAAGCCGTACACAGTAATTAGCTGTCAGTACGTAAGCAGTTTTGTTGATATTCTTAAAGCAGATGGATAGAGACAAATAGAAAGTCGTAGACTACGAGCATGTTTTAAAGCCTATCTTTGCCTTCTTCGGCCATTGCTAGTCTTCGTTCCACCTTCTAGTCAAACATGCCATTTTTGATTCATCCCAGTTTCAGATGATCATAAAAATTCTTTTTGACTTCTATGTGATAAAAAAACTCATTCTTCTACATCCTATATCGCTAACAATCATTAGAACTCGTTTAGCTAATCCTAGCCTCTTCCACGCATGGGAGGCTGATGTATTCATCATCCTTCAAAACCTTAAAACACTTAAATTCATTACAATCGGACGAAAATTAGAAAACAAATTTTCGTTGAAGAAGTGCAAAAACTGTTACCAACTTCATGAAAATGACTTTATACCATTAAAAAGTCAAGCTTGAGCGTTTTCTAAATACCCGTTTCTGCGCTCCAAAAGCCGTCATTGGATAGTCTAAAGGATCAGAAAGCTGATCGCCATAAAAGGGCTTTTTGATTAATGTGTTATGCGCGCGAGCATGACTCAGCTGGTAAGCGTCGAGAATTCTGGCGTCCTCGGTTCGGTTTCGGGATACAGCATAAAAAAACAAATATTTTTTAAGCGTAGGCTGGAAACGTAGCGACGATCTCGAAAGCGTAAAACATCCCTAAGCGGGGAGACGGTCTGAGAAGCGTAGACTAGTATTTTTAATTATATAAAATATTACAGATTGCGTCGAGATGCTCTCGAACTACGCTTAAAATTTGTCTTAAATCAGGCACCCCTCCTTTCGTACAGACGAGTGTTGACTATAGATGGCTAAATATCCGTCTAGACGAGCGTAAAAATGTGAAAAGATTCTTGTGAATAATGAACGTTTTCCGACGAAATCAAATTATCTTCTGATCTGTCTATTATGAAAACATCATAGATTACGTTTAAACGCGGATCGAAGTTGAAAACTTCATAGATAGCCCTACCTTCATTTTGAATATCTTCACTTGGTAACTGCAGGTTGATTGGTTCTGAAAATGGATTTGTCAACATTGCGACAAAACAGTTATACGTATCTTTTAATCTTACCGGAATCAGTTTGAGGGGCTGCTGACGGTATATAAGATGATAAATATTCAATTGCTAGCAAAAAAATAAGAACCGACATTGTCTTGCTATACTGGGTTGTAGCCGTATAAGTTACTTACGATAGGGATCATAAGCGTATAAATTATTTTGTATTGCATCATTTAAAGCTAGAAAGAAATCAGATTAAAACTCACCACTATACAGTTCATAACACGACAAGACACACCGATGTTTACCTAATTTACTGTTGCTAGTTTCCTTTACCGTTTCCGAATAAACTACCGTTGGAATCGCACCTATCCAACGAAAAAGGCATGCTTCGTTTGAAAAAAATGCGAAAAATTTAGCTAACGTACCATTTGTAGAATCAATTTTGTTGAGAAATGTGGTTTGTAATAGATTTTTAATAAACTCAGAATGCGATCTTGAAAATCTTTCTTGACGCGTACTCATATCAGCTGTAAATAGAATTACTGAATAGTAATGAGAATTATCACAATCGTATAATAAATAAGCAAAATTGGATGGATTGTCGCCAAATGGAACTGGTGGACCCGTAATCTTGCCGTTTTGCATTATAATTACATGAAAATCAATTTGAAAATGTAGCGATAATGCACGCAGATCTACCGCACCACCGCAATATCCTTTTTCTTTAATTCTTTCACAGTATTCATCACGTGGTTCACCATTAATTATGTCCGTTGGTAAATATATTTGTTTAATCTTTTCAGAACATATATTACGGTACGTTTGTACATCCGAGTCTTCACTTATAAGTTTTCGTACGGATTCAAATAAACATGCACCATCTGCGCCCGATGCTAACAATCGAGCAAAAAGAAAACCTTCGCTGATGGAATTCACGGATGTAGACACCATTTGTTCTTAAAGCACTGATGTTACGGTAGAAATATTTGAAAGAAGCCAACACTAGTAGAGACTTTTTAACTGAAATGTGTTTTCTTTTAACAAATCTACAATAGAAGATTTGTTTCCTCAGGGATTCGGTCCAAAAAACAAGTTCGAAATTCTCCGTTTTCGAGCGTTGTAAGATTAATAAGAAGAGTTTCAATCCGCATAAACAAGCGTTTTTCGGTTGAGCGATGATATTCCACGCCTTTCTGGGTGGTACCCTGGAATTTCGGAAATTTTCTATCTCTTAGAAAACTTATTCGTTGGTTCTGAACATTTTCCCACATAGGTAACTCAACGTGCTCTACAATCTGGCAGTGTTCAGCTGAAAGTTCATAGAGGTCTTTGGACACAGAAATTCCAGGGTTCTCTCGTCAGATTTTTTCTTTCATTCCTTTTCAACGAGCAAACTGGCATATGTTCTACGAGTTTTATTTCCTGAAGCAACCCTGCTACTGCAAATATCGATCTTACCAGTAGAAAGCCGGTCAAAAACCTGTATTTTAACTTCAAATCGTTTTACTGAAAATGTATCGGTTGACAAAAAGGTAGTAGCATAAGAGAAAGTTCAGCAAACTGTATCGAATACCTAATCTGAATTTTTAAGAACTTTTCCTGCATACAACCTAAAGATACGTATCTAGCCGAAACGCTTATATTTGAATAAGGATTTTCTAAGAACACACAGTAGAAATACGTATTCGTAAAATACATAAAACTCTTTGATTAGAACTTCAACTGCTGTTATCTCTGCGTTCCATTCAGTTCATCCCTATTAACAGCACAAGTGCATACTTGTACATATCGTTCTACCACAAGAAAAAAAACATCCGTTCTTAAGGAACGCCGATTTTCGGTCAAAAAGTCGGTTTTGAGATACGCACATGGGAAGATTGCTTGAAGTGTCTACTTTCAGAATCTGTATTGCTTTGATTACAAAAATGGTTTTTCGCGGATTTTGAGCAAGTTTTCTAAGAGGTTCGAAAAACCGGGTCTTCAAATAATAGGTTTATCCTGGATACTTATGCAACTGAAATTTTTCTGAACACACAAATTTGTAGAGAAAGCTTTTCTGATCAAAATAAGACCTCGCACAACTCTGTCTGACCTAGCGTCAAAAAGTTACAGGCATTTTAGACAGGTCCTAAAATTGAGTATTTCTTACAGCGTTTTCTCTATGTAAGAGTTAGACTTGAGTATATCTCAAGACTTTTAATAGCGGTTTGTCTTAGAGAGTTCATTCTTTTTTTGTTTAAAAGAAGAAAAGAAACTACATGGCCTGCCCTGCGTCGATTGAACTAGGTCTTAGTTTTTTGTCAAACTGAGAACTTTTCGGGTTTTGGAGGTTGTTGGTTGCCTGGAAAACCAATAAAGGCTTAATCGAAAAATTGGCGCCGGTCAGTCCGTGTAGTTAGGTGTCTGGTTTAAAATAAAACAGATCCAAACTCTCCAGCTTGAAGTATATTAAAAAATCTTGGGGCGCACTTCAGGGTCCTTTTTAGACCTTCATCTCTCGAAAACTCCTAACCCGTAAGACTTGGAGATAAAAAAAAATTTTCATTCCCGTAACTCATTGTGCCTAACATTTAAGGAAAGTTTCGTCAAGATCCGGTGTACGGTGTCGGGGAAAATTTCTCAGGGGTGAGGGGAGGGGCGGCTCTTAGGCAAAAAATCCTACTTCGACACCAGTTAACCTTTATACATCTTTCAATTTCTTCTCATCAATTAACGTCACATATTATCAGACGGCCTTGAAGGCGAAAAGTAGTAACACAAAATTGAAATTAAAAATATAAAGTGAGTAGAATCATTGTTTTAACATTATATATAGTAAATAGATTAATAGACAATAACGAGAAAATGGAAAAGTTCTAGACACAAACATAAATTTCTTCTTCACAATAGGTAAAGACGTTTCTTCTCTATTACTTTAATTACTATATATAATATTAAAACAATGCTTCTATTCACTCCATATTTTTCATTTCAATTTTGTGTTAGCACTTTTATCCTCATACTTTTACTAGTGAAAAAACATTTTTCGAAACATCCAAGAAAGAAATTATAAAATAAAATATAAATTTTAAAATAGATGCTGTTATCATCAGAACAGTTTAGTATCATTTCATTTCAAGCATAAAATTAGGACTTTCGTTTTGTAGTAATATTCTTAAAGAATGTGTACGCTGTATATTACCATCACACTCGGTATATTGAAGTTAAGTTTTGAAAAATGTCGTAAAATTCAAATGACTTTAATCTAAGAATAAATATGATACTTACTTAACAAAATAGATTCTAGTACAAAACATATGCCATCAATAATTAAATTCTATTGTACTATGTCTAAATTATACGGAGAATTCGTACCTATATACACACATGCGTTTTGATAAAGAAAAGAAAGAATCAATAATTTCACAGAGCATAGAATGGTAGAATGAAAATTCCATGTCGAAGCATATGATAAAAAAAGAAAAACAAAGCGGTGTGAGAGAGAAAGAAAGAAAAATTATTATTACAGAAGCAGCAAGTAAGAATCGTAGCTTGTCACATGTATAATAGAGAACAAAGAAATGATATTTCAAGCTTAATTAAGCAGAAATCACTGCTGCTTGATGCGTAACGTATTTTTGAAAATATTGATCGCTGTATACAAGTCTCGTAGTACGAGATTAGAATATCACTGTGCGCAAGAAAACTCACTATTTGAAATTTTACCAGTCAAATATAGATATGACATGTGGTGGGAGTGAGCCAAAAATGAAAGAAAGAACCGTATTTAATACTTCTAACGTACATCACGATAAAAGCTGGACCTTTTTGTTAGTTTTAACACCGACCTAAATTAATAAATTGATGTTTTTAGTATAAAATCGACAAAAACCGTTTGTCATTTTATTTAAGAAAAAAGCAGATAATTTGAAACAAGCAGTGTAGTAGAAATTAAAGTAGTTCGATCATTTAGAATCTAGGCATACATGAATGATCACATCTGAAGGATTCACTTACTTAAATTTGTTTTAGAATTCTTCTGTGTTACTGACCCTTTTTCAAAAAAAAAAACTGTCACACGTGTTGGTAAAACCAGACTCAGTTGAAATGTGTGATTCATCAGAAGAAGCAAAAGAAGAATTATACTTTTTATTTCTTCTCTTTTTTGTATTACATAGAAGACGTAAAGAAAAAAGTAAATCGAGAAAAACCCGTGCAAAATAAAATGTGCTAATAAAAAAGTAAATCAAAAACCAGTTAAAATATTCTTATCAGATCAAATTAGGTTAGTTACATGACAATGACAATTAATTTATGTCAATTAACCCAAAACATATCCATATAAAAAAATTGAAGAACAATAAAACATAACTAATAAAGAAGGAAAGAAAGAAGGAAAAGTGGTTTGAAAATTTTTTATCTCGCTTCATATAGAACATTGCACAAGAAAAAAATGTGCTAAAGAAAGAAAACACTGATGGGTTTAAAACTATTTTTTGAAAGTTAAAAGTTGATACAGTTAAAACCCTAGTTATAACTATGAACCCCAGTTAAAACTCGGGTTGATCGATATAACTACGGTTGAACGAGTTGGTTTAAGCTTTATTGATAGAGAAAATAACTAATAAGACATGCAATCGGTCCTAGGCCATTACAGCATGTTATACAATTGTATAAAAAGTAGGTTAGCAGTATAAAAGAAAGAGAGATAAGAGAAGAAGATCTTATAACAAAAATAGAAAAAAAATAAAAAAAATAACAATAGTAATAATTAAGAGGTGGCAAAAGGAAGAAGAAGAAAAAATAAAAAAGATTAAGACAGAAAGAAAAGGATAAAAAAAAAATAATAATAATAATAGACCATGTGATGTCAAGCGAATAACAGGAAGAAGTGCCGAACAGTTGATTTACTCTCTACCATCTCATGCTTTTTTCAATAAAGTCACTCACACAATCGATTATCAATTGAGAAGTGTCTGTATTACTAGTCTAATTATTCAGCATAAGAAGTTCAATAGACAAATTAATAGGGTGTAAAAGTTTGAAGACTACCTTACGATTTGTATCATACAATTTGCAGTGAAGAAGAAAATGCTCTATTGTCTCCTCGCTACCGTCACCACAGGAGCACAGAGGCGAATTAGTGCAACCCCGTTCATATAAATAGAAATTCAGCTGCGGAAAATTACATCTCAAACGCATGAATAGGCTTTCAGACCTTCTGTTTAGAAAAGTAATGTGTGTGGGAAAAACGAGCTCCTCCCCTTTTATCAATGAATGACTTTTTCAGTTTATACTTTATTGTATTGATTTTTAAAACACACAGTGATGGAAATGTTATCAAGAAAGCATTCCATTCGTCTGTGGCTACCGTAAAAAAATGTCTAACGCGTTCAGCTGGTACCAGTCGTCCCCCACTTCTTAGATTATATCTCTGATTTTGATTTCGCTGAATGTACCCAGTTAAATTAGAAGCTGTGCAACCGCGTATAATTTTTACATAATGTAGTAAACGATTGATGTAAAAAAGATCGCATAGGTTTAACCATTCCAAACTAGATAACACTCTTTCCTTGATGTGCCTTTCAAACAACCTAACACAACAAGACCAGCATGATGCTGAATTGTTTCCATTTTTTTGAGATTGTCTTCAGTTGTGATAGGAAAAAGGACAGAGCCATAAATAAACAAATTAAGGACATACGACTTATATATCACATCAAGCGTTTTTCTATTTAACAACCATTGACTTGAACGAGTTACAATTCCAAATGGGTAGACTATAACCATTCCAACTTCAGTTATAACTGCATCAGTTTTAGTAATGACTGTCAATCCAAAATAAAATTATGAAAGCTCATTTCAGTTTGTGTTATGGCACAGTTATAACTAAAGCTGAAATAATTATAACTCTCTCAATTGCAGTTATATCAATCAACTTGAGTTGATAGCTATAACTATTGTAGATTTTTGACGAAAAGTCAATTTAATTATAACTAATTTCCACTCCAACTAGTTATAAGTCAGGTAGTTTTAAACCCATCAGTGAAAGAAAAGGAGATATATTTGTTGTATTTACTACAGCGGCGAATGAAAATAATAATAATGATAACAGTCTAACCTCTAGATTTTATTAATTTTCAAAAGGTGTGATTGGACTATGCGTTTATGAGAAAGTTTTACAGAAGCATTAGACAATGTATATGAATCAGTTGTGGCTAACTTTTATTAAATAAAAGAAAAAACGAGGTTTTTCGATAACATGTGATAATTGTTGAAATGTGGAGGAAGAGTTAATTAGAGAAGCTGAGCTATGAAAGAAAATCTTTCTAGAATGTGGCCCCGTTTATCGATTTTTCTTTATGATCGTAGTCATTTAGTTACGGAGATTAACAAAGCTGGTAAAAAAGTTTTTGCACAAAGTGTACAACCCAGGCAGAAAAAAGTAAGCAAGGAGATCTAGCTTATCAAATAGTTCAAGCGTCCGCTTAATCGTAGGGTCCAATAGCTAGGTATGCCGAGCAAGTACCCACTTGCTAGCTTCAAGCAGTCGATCCAGTAGGCACTTAATCGAGCGATTAGCGTCCAATTCAAACACACCAGCTAACTTCAATTCACTTAAGCTAGCTTTTATGGGTTAAAAATCGGGTTAGGTAGCTGCAAGCACCCGCTTCACGATTTTTTTCCTGCTTGGGAAGTATGTTTCATGTACTCACAAGACCTTACATAAAATCTTGACGGAACCAAAAAATATGCATCAAGATATTGAACAGAAGCTACTTTCCAATCCACCATCACGTTCTTTTGAGTAAATTCATTATTAAATTCAGGCTATATATTATATACGTAAAATACAAAAGAAAAAAATAATGTGTTTCGATAGAAAAAGAAAGAAAGAAAAAAAGCGAGTATATGCTGTTTGTTCTAAAGGATGAATGATATCATGATTGTCAAGTAGCGGAAGCAAATTAAAAGTCCAAACCGTGTTGTGTTCAGGGGATTCAGTAGCGGATTTAGGGTGCTGGCAGCCGCCAGCACCGAAATTTTTGATTTCATACTATTATACTCTTCTTCTTGCGCAACATAGTAATAAAGTAAAAGAAGCAAAAATCGTGTCGTCTAGAAACTCCTAAGCAAAGTTGTTAAACTTGCTCTTTTGTTCAAATCTGCCAGCACCGAAAAATTTTTCTGGATCACATCCACCGAGAGAATCCTCATTTTATTTATCAAAAGCCTCATTTTTTAGAATCGGATACCCAGTGAACTTGAGATGACTCGAATCTTATAATGTAGATTCGATCGATCAATCCAAAATCAAGCAAATTTTGAAGTTTAACTAAATGTGACGGTATATTGTGTTACTCATTTCACAACAGCGAAAGACTCGAATCAAAAGTCTCGAGATCTAAAAAACCCGTCTTTGCTCTGACTTTAAAGTAGAGAGTTCAGTTAAAAACGATAATTTGTCTAGCAGATCCGCGAATACAAGACTTGATCGGATCCGAATTGTTTTCTATTAGGTTTAACTATATCTTAAAATCTCCTCAGTATTCGGACTTTATTATATTATTGTGGTTTTGCCAAATGAAACCGTACGAGGTGTTAGTCATAAAAAGAATGATTCAAACAAAACCGCTGAACACATTAGCGATACTTTTCTAATTATACATCTGGCTTCTAATCAGAGAAACTGTTTTTTTTTCATGTAGTTTTGACACATGAAATCATAAAACAGCAGTGAAGTGCTTTTAGGCCAAACGATAAATTTTCACCAAGGAACTAGAAGGTTCTGATCTGGTTTGCAGAGAAAAAAAAGAAATCACTTTCTATCATATATACGAACAATATGATAGCCTTAATTCGAAGAATAGATGGTACTTTGTAGTATTTAGTCTAAATGCCCCTAAAAAAATATTTCTAAAACTTATTCTTGTTCTTACAGTGCAATTTGCACTGTGTAAATACGTAACCTATGTTTTCTGATCATGTAAATGTGTGACGAATAGAGTTGCAGTGCATCAATATTTTTTTGCTGTTCTTCTTAGTGAACTGTTAATAAAAGAGAAAGGGACAAAACAATAACGAGTTTTTTATTTACACATGTCTCGCGTACATAAAGAAGAAGTACTATGATGTTACAAATCAAAGAAGAGAGTGATTAGTCATAAGTTACTTTACTGTTTTTGAGAGGAAAATATGTTTTTATTAGCAAAAAGAATGAATTGTCTGACTAACTTCACACTTAATTGAATAATTAATGAATTAAACGTCAGACCAAACTTCGAGCATATTTTGTCTTCTTTCTATTAGAATTTTAGGGTTTTACTGGACATCTATCATAATGAAATATCGTTTAAATGCCACTGCCTATGCTTTCTCGTAGAAAAGTATTCTTTGTATCACTAGATGCTTTAGAAAACATTTTATTCAAACCATAGAAAATTTGACTGGTAGAACCGTTACGGGCTTTACCGTTGCCGTCGCATGCCTAGTGAAGATCTGTTGTGGGTTGCGTGAGGACTTTGTACAACTATAGTATACGAAAGAAATGAAAGGACTTTTCTGAACATTTTGCTATGTAGATTTTGAAAATCTTAGGCTCTGGAAAGAATTATGCTTAAAGTCACATTTTTACCAGTTGAAATATTTAAAATCAAACTTATTTTCTGATTCCTCTTCTGAACCGCTATTTTTCTTTCAAGTGATGCTTTTCTATTTTAGCTGGCATTGTTTAATTACGAGTATGGCTTGACATTCACACAATTCATGTTTCGTTTTACCTTTCTGTTTTCTTCGAGTGATGTTAAAGCGAGCGTTCACATTGAATTTTCTTTTGACACTCATATTCATGCACTCTAAATAAATATGATTTGTGTCATCAGATATTTTATCTGACGCAAGTATAGCATACATCAGTTAAATAAACGGTAAGATTTACGAACTTCGTACGTCCAATTTACGATGATATTTAATCAACATTTGGGTAAGAATTAAGAAATAAAACAACCGTTTCCCTTTTAGGCAGTCGATGATGTTTATTAATAGGATCAAGGTCTTGAGGGAGTGCATGGATTCAAATTTAAAATGCACGTTTAGTCTTTTCAATTGGGAAAACATTTGCTATCGCAATGAGGACCAAAACAAGCAAAGGATCCCGCCGGATAAGATCGCAAATCTGCCTCCGCCCCGTTGAAACCAAACGATTATATTATGGTAGGATAGAAGATTGTTAGGCACATCCGAATTTGTTGTCCTTTCTCTAAAATTGCTTGTCCTTGGGTGAAAAATCAAGTTTTTCTCATATAGTCTCCCATGTGGAGTGATTTTACTGAGTTCTGTAATATGAGGCAGGTCTCGTCACTGACGTCAAAGGTCGATGTAAATGATGGTAGGTTTATATGAATTCAGTTTATCCGTCGATGCCGAGTTTTCACCTCTGATCGCACTTCCCGCTATAATATTTTTGGTCAGAGAAAATATTTTTCGGCCAAATGTTTACCCTAATAACTAACATATATGAGGATGTTTTGGGATAACTTTAGCAGATGTTATATTTCAAATATTCGAGTTATTGAAATTTCAAGTTTTTCGAAATTTGTGAATTTTCTCATTTTGAGGCGATGTTTTGTGTTTTCAATGAACAAGAGTTATTATGGATATAAAACGATGATTTTGTGCAGAATTTATGCGAAGTTTGTTGGTGAAAACCGCTTTCCGATATCTACTTTCGTTGTTGAGTTATAGCATTTTTAGTCGAAATCACTGCACACTGGAGACTATATGAGAAAAACTTGATTTTTCACCCAAGGACAAGCAATTTTAGAGAACGGACAACAAAGTCGGATGTGCCTAACAATCCTCTATCTAACCATAATATAATAGTTTGGTCTCAAGGATGCTGAGGCAAATTTGTGGGCTATCCGGCGAGGTCCTGTATCGGTAAAATCTAAATGTCTAGATATGAAATTAATTAAGTTACAGCACATTCTGTGTCACGTTTATGGCACAGCTAAGTCAATAGTTTTCGTGTATTTACAGACAGAGAATAGTCTGATATTTGTAGGTGTCTTTAGTTTTTGTATAAAGTTACACTACGATTCCTTTTATATTTCATATAAAATGTTCTAGACTTTTCTCCATCAGTACGTGTTGATTTAATTTGTTTAACAATAATTTATGTCGTTAGTCTTAATATTATTGTTAGAACGTTTAAATAATACTGGAAGATAATGAATTAATTCTAACTTAAGTTTAACACTTACTTGACGTTTCGTTTTTTTACTATCACGATAATGAAAAATATCAAATGATTTGTGGATGGACTACACCAATATTCATCTTCACCATTGCGAACCGATTAATATTATCATACCGTGAATCTTTTTCACATTAATTCCTTAATTTGTATCTCAGTTGAGACGTTACGCAATAAACGATCATTCAAAATGCACAAAAGTATCTGACTATTATTCGTCTCATGGCTACAACTATTGATATTGATATAACTGATATCATTCAAAATAATCCATTATTAGATGAAGCAATATTATCAGATATAATAAAAAAGTTTGACGTTCTCATACCAAATACAGATGAATTTGAATCATTTGATTCAACAAAAATTATTGGAAGACAGGTAAAGTAACTTTCAGACAGAAGTCTTCTATGAACTAATGAATTAAAAACCGTCTAGCATTTATATAACTAGTTTTTCAATGGATCTTAGGTCTCTATTTTAAAAAGCAAAGCCAAAATTAAGGCTAAACATCAGAAAATAGCTCCATGCTACTATGCAAAAAAAAATATTACTATTAATATTAAAAGAGAAAGGTAAATACTACACCAAAAATCAAAAAGAACCGCAATTAAAAATAACAAAAGTCATAAATAATTCTATTGATACTAGAAATAATGAATCATCAACAATAGCCTTTCCGCACGGATATATGCTTCTTTCCCCTCTAAATTGTCGACGTACTGAAAGCTTAAATCCATTTTTACACGATTTTTTTCATCTGGTTTCATCGTGCAATTAAGTTGTGGCGTGTATTACCAGTATTGTCATGACCCTGACTGTTATCAGCTGAAATCAGAATCATTTAAACCGTTACCGCAGCTGCTTCCAAAAGAAGATGGTATTTTACCTTGGCTTAGTACATACTGGGAATGGTAGGCTCTTCGACCCAATAAGCGATTTCTGAAGCAGTTCCGTATATGGATGTCTGAAGCAGTTCCGTATAGTTTAGAAACGAAAGGTGAGGCAGATCTGTTGTTTTTGTAGATGTGTAGAGAAGAGTCTGGCGGTTGAAACCCAAAATTTTTGCAAAAGTCAACGTTTCGAGAATTTTTGTTTTCAATTCAAAACGATAAAAGCGAATGGTTTTAATTTAAATTAAAAAATCTGAATTTAAAATTAGATACTGTTACTATTTCGCTTATTTTCGCAACAAATTCGGTCGGTTTCGAGATTTTTTCGTAGAAGAGATCAAAATATTGCCCAAATCGACTGTGATACCTCGATATTATTTCATTTCAAAATTTATATCTCATTTTTATCGTTTCTGCAAACACCATTTTGCAAAGAAACTGTTAGGATCTGTTTCTCCCACAATCTCTTTACCTCATTCCGACTAGATCGGGACTGTAAAACTATGTTTCGACCCATTACAGGTATGCACGCCTACCGTTTTCTGATTGATATGGATCCGAAAATTTTTACACCCATAATCTTTGGACCTGTAGCCGAATTTCTCCGTTTTGATTTCCAGCAAAAAATCTTTTGCTTTTGGCCTAAGAACTTTTAGTTCTTTGCAAAAAACTTTCAGATATTAGTTAAACTTTTATACATTCTAGCTGGAGTCTTGTATCTTTTTAATAAAATTTTGTGATTTTCCTCTAGAACCTTCCAATTCTCGAGTAAATTTTAAAAAATTTGATTGCGCGCCAGATTCGTACCCTACAACTTCGTAGCCGTACTCAATCAAATGTTCACAACAAACAGTAAGGCTGCAGAAAAACGTCAAAATACAGGTCAAATACGAAGCCTGTACAGTATTTCACAGTAATATAATTCTTAGTTATTTGATGATATTTTTCATACAAGGAAGAAGTTCATATCAGTCAAAAAAAGACAAACAAAAAAATTTGCTAATGAATTTTTTTGTTTGTAGGAAGAAGAAATGTACTATGGAATGAAGTAAGGACGTTAACTCTGTCTCAGAGATGACAGCAGACTTTTATCTCATTTTAACTCTTGACTAATCGTATGAAAGTTAATATCAACGAAGTAACTAAAAACAACAACTTGAACTGTCCTGCGTTAACCAATAGATTTTTGACTGATATGAACTCCTTCCTTTTTGTTGCCTGAAGAAGGACACTGTGAGAAATGTGAAGCAGCTGCCAATATAGATAGATCTGAGATGTATGTATATGTAAGTTCGAATGCCAGATGTCTATTTAGCCAAACATTTCCCAATAAAACTTTGAACTTTTCGAGATTCACCGGAAATAAGAAGAATGAAAGAGAGAAAATATTCACAGTTAAATAGAATATAATCGAGTATGTCTCTTCCCATTTTCAAATTTAAATAAATTGAAACTATAAATAAAAAAAATAACAGCAACATGAAAGTGTAATTTTCAGGTGCCAAATATTATGTTCCTCCTACATTTTGCTTCAAATCGCATGTAAAAATTGAGAGAAAACTCTCTGGAGATCGGACATCATGCTTATCCTTCATACTGATTCAAACTGCAGCTAAAAATCGGCAGAAAACCAAACATTTTCAAAAATCTTCTGAAGATCTCCTCGAGATCCTCCTATTGTCTACTTGACCTATTTGCTCCCACTCATAGGCAATAAGTAAATGGAATTTAGCAAAAACAGCAGTTACATTCGGAGTGCTTTCTTCACTTAAGACTGTAGTACAGACAATCCATGTGTCTTGAATTTGGTTGAGGACGATTTCAAATGGGTATACATATGTTGATAGTGTTCCTCGTACTCACATTCTGTGCAGGTGCCACATGTAAACGGATAAATAAGACAATCAAATCGATTATTTAAATTGAAAAATGAGTAAATAATATCACTCGACTTTAAGTAAAGGAAAATAAATTGATATAGTTCATTAGGTAAACTTGATTCTAACCTAGATGTAGGCTGAAAAACATAAATAAATCTCATACAATTCTTATTATACAAGCAGTAATTGTTTTTTCTCTCCGTAGAGGGAACAATGTTAGGGACATTCTATTTTTTGACTCTAGTTCACTCAAGTTGCTGCAAGCTATGAGGAAGGAAGATGTTACGTTTGAAAAGGGGTTCTTCAAACTACTTTTCATGTTGTGATATCATCACCCTTTCAATATTTTCTCATGTATTTAACATACTAAAGATAAAAAACAAAAAAAGTTTTACTACTTTCCAGACCAACCACGGCAAAACATTGATCTTTCCTTAATTCCTTTCAACATGAATCAGTGATGCATACTGTTCATTATCCGATTTTTGATAACTGATGAGTCATAAGTTATACAGTCTATCAAGAGTTTAATGTTTCATCGATAATACGAAAAAATCCAAATTCAAAGATAAAACAGCCTGTTTCTTCCATACACTTTTCAGATAATCATTGAACACACAAACAGAAGATAATTCGTAAATAGTTAAAGAATTTTTCTACTATTTTTCACCTAATAATGGGCTGCCTCTTCAAATACTGATAACAAACCATTATTTTTTACTGCCTTGTGATTCCGTATGTTACAAGACATTAATTTGAGATCAGATATGCATTCAGTATGAAAAAGCTGACGCATACTTTACTGTTTTTTACTCATACAAAACTTGGCGAAAGTAGCAGTTTGAATCATTTTGTTTTATGTTAATATTTGGCGTTTTGATTTATTTTAAGGATAAGGATCATTATCCTTGAAAATGACTTTAAAATAAATCAGAATGCCAGAAATTAACATGAAATAAAATGATGGTTCACTACTTCATTATTGGAACAGAGAATATATATATCTTGATTCGACCTGAATGTTTTCAATAACACTGGGTCATGGCCCAATGCGATCTGAGCATTGGCTTAATAGAAAATTCTTTTTGCATGTTCGGCCCAAAGTTTCCTTCACTTACCAATTCTGGACAAAGTGTGTGACACGAAAGTGAAATACAAATCCAAAGTAAAGCAGCTTGTACCTATTCTTTATTTCTTTGCATGTTTGGTGGTCAGATTACTACAGTCCAGGCTTTCCTCTGCATCCACTGTCGTGTAGAATATGCGGTATTGAGAACAGCCCATAGTCACGGTAACAAACAGTACGGAAAATAACGAAACTGCCCAGGCGAAAAAAAATCGTTAGAAACGACACGAAAAACGCGTTTTTTCCGAACGCGTTAGCGAACGATCGTTAAAAGAGCCGTTTAAACGCGTTTTTTGTCATTCAGAAGTTTAGAATAACGCGTTCTTTGACAACGCGTTTGCTAACGACCGTTAAATTAACCGTTTTCTGGCGTTTTTGTTAAACGCGTTTTCTAACGACGTTAA